CATACTCTTCCCAGCAGACAATGGGAGCAACCCTATTTAAATTTGATTGATGGTGCTACCTTATTGCTGTTGCACTATTTTTCACTGTCACCTTAAACTTAAAAATGTATATACCACAATGGTCAATGCAGTTTTCAGGGTTTACATGAAATTTTGATTGCACACAGGAAACCCTGATGTGAACAGTCTGACAATGGACTACAGTTTGTTGATGAGCCTTTCAGTCAGTTTGCAGTCACTTTAGAACTTCAGCATGTAGCAAGCTTGCCAAGATGTCTGTAGTCAAAAGCTAAGAGAATATGAGGTACAGAGAGTCAAATGTTTTTTAAAGGAAACACAATACTATTATAGTCTTATTAAAATAGTGGTCCACCCCAGTCTGACACGACTGATTGCCATCAGCGTTATTGCTAGGGAAAAGTCCTGAAGAGTCAACACGTCATCGGATCAAAGACACTGATTGCACAGTTGAGTCCAAACAAATATTATTTTCCTTCAGGGAGCCATTTTATTGACAACAACAGTTTACACTCCAATACATGTCACGGTAGCAGGACCATGGGTGATGAATACAGATAAAGAAACTTAACAAGATGGTACAGTGCTCCCAGCATCGAAAGACCAACAATGATCATACATGGGCCATACAGCAGAGGTAGTTACATGGAGAACCACAGATTCTTTGTTTCATCCATTAATGCTTCATTTGATGAACACAATGAGGAATGTCAAGACAGTAATGGTTTATAGACTACTCAAGAAAAATATCAGAATCAGAATCAAGATCAACAATCATCCTATGATCGACTGATCTTTGAAGTCCAAAATACTTTGTTCTGGAAGTATTATGAATCCTCTAGATCAATTAAATCTGTAAGTTCGAAACCTGAGGGGAATGGGATGACTGGGGGGTAATGGTAATTGTAGTATAGTGTTTATACTTTTGTATAACGTGATAACAAAGTGGGAAAAAGCTTGGGCAAGATATTCTGTGAGACAATAGAGTGGGAAAAAGCCTGGGGGAGATTTTCTGTCAGACAATGGAGGTGAAAGGATTCATCAATGAGCTAAGCTCCAGGCCGACCCACTCTGATATTTATCATAGCCACTGGCAGGGCAATGGACAGTTCAGGGCAGTTAGAACACAGAGCTGTTGGACACTGGCACAATCTCCTTATGGAGGCATATGTGTCTTCCCTACCTCTTGATATTAATCGTTAATATGCTTAAGAGTTAAAGCAACCTGTGTATAGTTACTGAGATGTAATAAAAATGCATGCTGTTATCCAAGACTTCTGCTGGCTCATACATGTGGTTCGTCCTTGACCACAGACTACTAGAAGACCCCTTGACTAACATAAGAGGAAGAATTGATGGAAGCATTCTACCCAAATTCCAAGTTATTTGTATCTAGGGATCTGATCATATTATAACATGGTGACAGCTATGTTCAAGAATAATAGCAGAATCATGACTAACATCGACTGTCTGAATAAACAGGAAGCAGTGATTGTGATCTGAAGGCTACATAACACTATTGCTTGGTCATTGTGTTCACTGACCTCCGACCTTGTTATTGTATGATCCTGGTCAACCTTTGTCCTAAGTTAGAAAAAATTAATCTGGGCCTTGACCAGCGGATCTGTTGAACTAACTTTGAACACATGTTTCTGCTGTTTTTTGTCCTGCAACCAAGCTAGAAATTGGAAAGTTGAATTCTGACCTTGTTTGATGGCTGACCAAAGTAGACTACCTGGCATCTTTCTCCCCTCATGCCCCTAGTCACGGTGGAGGATCCTACTGTTTTCAAGATTAATAAAGCTATGCAAATACACTGGGATATATTTAAATTCTATTTCTTGTAAAGGCCAGTGGCAGCACTGGGCATCTACATTTACTTGGCATTTAATGTAGCAAATAACTGCAAGTAATGATTGTTTAAAGAGGGTTGTTTGTGCAATGTTAATGATGCTGATATTGACATAATATTTCATTGTATGAATGTTTCTTGACAGGTACTCACAAGGACAACAACTGCCCCAAAATCCGGCACCACAGCCAGTTAGAAATAGTGTATCAATGATCTCCAATCCAGTGCTTATGGGTCAAATAGTAACTCCGGCATTTTCTATACCACAGTCACCTCTGTCACAGCAAACTATGCACCTACAACAGCAGCCGCAACACTATTTACAGGTAGGTCCTTTCTGATGGATCTTGTAAATATAATGTGTTTATGTTTATATGTCTATTTTTGTGTCATTTTATCATATTTTCTTAATGTACCAAGTTTGTGTGTCTCTTTCTTCCTCTACACATACAGTTAATTAGCTCTGAATCAGAAGATTGTGAGTTCAAGTTCCATTACAGTATTTGAGCACACAGTTTAGCCAGACACTTCATTTCACTGCTATGTCTGAGGTGACATCTTTCAAATATTTTAAAATTCACTCATGGGATGTGGGTGTTGCTATTAAATGTTACATTTATTGCCCTTGAACTGGGTGGCTTTCTGGGCTATTTCAGGGGGCAGTTAAGAATCAATTACATTACTGTGGCTCTTGAGTCATAAATAGGCTAGACCAAATAAGGATGGCAGATTTCCTTCCCCAAAGGACATTCGTGAACCGGATGGGTCCTTTTGACAATCAGCATCGGTTGCATGGTTGCCATTAGACCAGGGTTTAATTCCAATATTTTATTGAATTTAAATTTCACCATCTGCTATGTGGAATTCAACCCTACCTCCCAAACATTAGCCTAGAATTCTGGGTCACTAGTCAGTAGCATTACCAGAATTCCACCTCCTCCCAACAGGCTATGATGAGATGTTAAAAGGGGGTTTCATTCTCCTATTCATTTGGTCTTTAGAAAGATTTCCCGTGTTACATCCTGCACAATTTTTCTTTCCATTGACTAGAAAATATTTGGCGTAATCTCTCTTCCCTGTGACATTGCCGATGTGTTTTGAGATGGTATACAAAGTCCACCACTTCTGAAATGTGACATTTTAAACTATGATAGTTTATTGTCTGAACATAAGACATGGGAGAAGGAATAGGTTAGTTACATCCCCTGAACCTGCTTCACCATTAATACAATCATCAACCTCATGGTGGTCGGTTAGCATTGCTGCCTCACAGTGCCAGGGTCCCAGGTTTGATTCCACCTTCAGATGACTGTCTGTGTGGAGTCTGTGCGTTCTCTCTGTGTCTGTGTGGGTTTCCTCCTACAGTCCAAAGATGTGCAGGGTTAGGTGAATTGGCTATCCTAAATTTGCCCACAGTGTCCAGGAATATGTAAGTTGGGTGGATTTCCTATGGGAAGTGTGGAGTTACAGGGAGAGGGTAGGAGCATGGGTCTGGATAGGATGCTGTTGGGAGGGTTTGTGTGGATTTGATGGGCCAATGGGCCTGTTTCTGCACAGTAGGGATTCTATGATTATATAACTCTGTTTTCCCACCTGATGCCTTGCTTATTTTGTTTCTTCACATGTACTTATTTTCCTTTGAGAAATAGTGGGTAAGTATTGGTAGAATTAGCAGGATGATTATCAGCCTGTTAAACAGCATCATGGATGGCCGTCCAATGGCCTAAAACTCCTGGAGTGGGATTTGAACCCAGAGTTTCAGGCTCAGAGGTGGGGACATTATCTTCTGAGCTGCAAAACCTCTTGGTCCTTTGTGCCTTGATTCCCTTATAGTCCAAACATTTATCTATTTTAGCCATATATATACTGAATGGCTGTACCTCCGCGGCTCTTTCTGGTGGAAATTTCCAAAGATTTACAATCCTGCAAGAGATTTCCATTTAGCTTGGTCTGAAAGGATTGACTCCCCATCATGAAACTCTTCTGTCTAGTTCTAAACTTGCCAGCCAAGGAATACAGTTTCTCAGCATCTACCCTATGAAGCTCTCTCAGAGTCGTCTATTTCAATGAAGCCATCTCTCTTTCTTATAAACTCTAAAGAGCATAGTCTTATCCTACTCAACCCCTGCACATTGGACTATTCTCTCCTCCTTGTAATCAATCCAATGAATAACCCAAAGAACTGCTGGAAATCTGAAACAAAAACAGAAATTGCTGGAGAAACTCAGCAGGTCTGGCAGCATCTGTGGAAAGATAGCAGAGTTAACGTTACGGGTCTAGTGACCCTTCTTCAGAACATCAGTCTGGTGAACCTCTATCCTGTACTTTCCACGGTAAGTATAACCTTCCTTAGGTATATGCACAGTGGGTGTGGTCACATTAATGTTCTAATATAACAAAACTGCCCTATTCTTGTACTTCTTTTCCCCTGCATTAAATCAATTGCTTTCCATATCTGGAACTGATAGAGAGTTAGAGCACAATACTGATTGGAGTACCTTACCCACTTTAATTACGCTAATCAAAAATGACTGATAAAGCTGGAAAAAAGAAAAATATGACTTGAGTTCCAGGAAAAAGGATCGCAAATGACAACAAATTATTCAGCAAAATGTGCTGGGGATGAAGTTAAACGTAGAAATGAAACAGAGGAAATTGACTTTATTGCTGGGAAATGGCTTGGTAAGGTCCGAGCATTAAGCCCAGAAAACTCAGAGCAGTACAAAGAACTGCCAAACAGCAAAGGGAATTGGAAAGGTTCTCTTTAGTTACAGAGAACAAAAGAGGTCCCAAATATCCTGAAAGCATTAAAAAAAAAGCCCTTTGATAGTTTGAAAATAGAACAAACATTCACAGGAGTTCAAAAAGGGTCTGTCAGATTTGGCTAGATTAAAAGTGTCAGGATAAAACCCGCTGAACTCAAAAAGCCAAGAAAGAACTTGGAGTGAAAAGGACATAGAATGGAGCCCAATAGACAGCCTAGAGAGGCTGTACAAACTAAACAGTTTCAGCAGAGCTCTGCAGAGACATAAAGGCTGATATCAGGCCAATAAAGTTAAAAGGGGTCAATAAAGAACTTGTAGATTTTAATAGAATGAAAGTAGTGAGCGTGAAATTGAATTGGCAAACACCTCCCTTACTAAATTAAGTGGGACCAGGGCAGTTCCCATGCAGACAAAGTGATAGTGAGGGAGGGGTACCACACACAGTCAAAGAACCATGGGCAATAGCAACAAAAATACATGAGTCCATGTAAGCCAGGGGTCCCAAAAATACCTGGGACTGAATAGAGACCAGCACATCTGCACAGCAGTTGAATTGGGGAAATTGTTACTCCATAAAGAAGATCATGCTTAGAACTGTCCGCATGTATTGTTCTTACCCCTTCTGGACTGAATTCAAAACCTCACCAAATTTCCTGTGTAAACATTTTACAATGCACTTAATTTATGACCATTCGGTCTAACCAGCGATTGCACCCTGATCATTTATATACAGTCAGAAAATGTGTCAATTTCATGCTCAATAAATGTAATCCATTCAATAATATATTTTGATATTTCCAGCAGGCTCAAACATCCAGTTCCTTGCAAGGTGAACAACCAGAGCTGCTTCTTCTCCCTCCTCCTTATCCGCAGCAACAGGAAATTCTGGGCTACCACCCACAACCTCAGCAAAGACAACGTGTACAGCGCCTCTCTGAATCATCAAATGTTTAACTCACGCAGTAGCCTTCCAGCAATTAAGAAATATAAATTAATAAACTTGTTTAAAGCAATATCCACCCTTTCAGTTTAATAAATTGCAGTTAATGTGCTACACTTTTACTGTTTCCAGACAATGTGTTAAAATATAAAGCTTCACAAAATTTATTGTAACATATTTTAATTATATGATTGTTAATTGGAAATGGGAGAAGAATGGCACATTGAAAGCTACAATTTGGCATTATAGGTTACACTCAGTTTTTATTTTTATTGTTTTAATTTTACTGTTTTCATGTAATTTTTAAATTCTGATTATTTTAATGTGAGAAGGCCACATGTACTGCTGGTTAATGGATTGAAACACCAGCAGCATTAGGGATGTTTTGAAATGATTACTGAGTTTGTTGTATAACTCATTAGCATAATCCAAGTTAGAATAGTTCAAAGCTTATTTTTTTTTAAACACATAACGCCAGTAATTTTCTAACTTTGTACAGCTGGAAAAGACTTGCTTGCCAGCACCATATTTCAGAGATTCTGGTGCTCTTTATGTAATTGTCCAATTATTCGTTTAAGTGGTCAGAAGGACGTGAGCTTTGTGTGCCAGGATTTTCATTGCACACTCTCACCAGATGAATTTTTCGTCAAAAATGTAAAGTCAGGAAATTATCCCTTATATGTACAGATGTACAGGCTTGCCTCAGATTCCTTTTATACTTTCTAAGTTTGCTGTTATCAGTCAACAGCTGGGAAATAAACTTGCAAGCTGTGTGGATAGAATGTGAAATGGGGCTACATGGATTGTTTTACAGAGATCCATCATGGATTTGATGGGCTGAATGGCATCCTTATATGCCATGACTTAACCTGAATGGATTCAAGCATGACAAGAAACTGGGAACGATGTACCTAGCTTTTTGCACAAAATCAGCTATTATGTTTGCAACATAACCTTGTTCCTATTATGTAATCAAGATATATTTTACGATTCCCTGTGCTAAATTGGCACATTTAGTATAATGCAACAGCTGATGTTGTGTATTGGCTACTAGGTCCCTTCAAGGACATATACTTTGGACAAATTCTTAATGTCACATTCAACAGAATAATCATTAATGGAAAAAGATCAGTTCTACAACACTGGATGTTTAAAAGGAAACTGTTTACTTTGTGTTGTATAATTTTCAAACACATGCACTTTTTCTGATTTATATGTTTTATTAAGGCTGCATTTGTTACATAAAAATCTCTAAATAAAAAGTGAGTGAGGAACTGTCTATCAGACAGACACTGTAATATATGAGTAATTTCTGTATAAATGATTCTTTGCAACAAAAGTGGATTTTAGTCTAATTTTGTATAAAATGCATCAATCCATTTCATATTTGTTTTTTTTTGTCAGTGACCATTTTGTAATAAATAGTAGAAATCATTGCTATACATCACAAAGTGTAAGTTAATGTACCTTTATACCCATGTTCTTCACAAATCCAATGTCATATAATTTTCTGCACATCCAAACTCAGTTTATCAGTGTCCATAGCAAAACTGCAACCAAAATTATTGTGATATTTTGGATATGAGTTATGCATGAAATTACAATGGCTCAGAATCGGCAGTGTTCTTCTTCTGTTCTTTTTGAAATGTGGTGTACCGTGGAATATGTATTTCCCAACTTTGGTCCCCTTGTAACCATGTCTCTGTAATGACAATTTAGTCTGAAACATTGATCTCTTATTTGTGTCACTGGTTCATCTGTGTTATTGTGGACACTGTGCACATTCAGATAAAGTGACCAATTTTTTTTAACTCCAGCTCTCTGCGTCAACCGTACTCCTTTGCACTATTGCTGTCCCTTCATGTACCACACAACTTGTCTTTGCCCAGAGGAGATTTTACAGAATTGATAGGCTGTATTTGCCATTGTTGTTTCTGGTGCCTTGGTTTCATTCCTTTTCTAGCATTTGATACAATTGAGTGGCCATTTCAGAATGTAATTAGGAGTCAACCACATTGCTATGGGTCTGGAGTCATGTGTAACAAAACTAGAATAGAAGGATGAATTTGGTTTATTGTCATGTACTAAAGTACAGGAGTACAGTGAAAAGTTTACAATGTTGCCCCTCATGGTGCTATCTTAGGTACAAAATACCTAGATACAAAAATAGAGAAACAAAAAAAAAATTACCTTACAGTGATCCATTATATAAGTTAGAAAATAAGATATATCGTTAAAGGATAAACAATACTGTCAGATAAACAGAATACAGATAAACTAAGATAACAAGGTGTAGAGCTGGATGAACACAGCAGGCCAAGCAGCATCAGAGGAGCAAGAAAGCCAACGATTCAGGCCTGGACACTTCTTCAGATTTTCCATTTCTGAAGAAGGGTCTAGGCCCGAAACGTCAGCTTTCCTGCTCCTCTGATGCTGCTTGGCCTGCTGTGTTCATCCATCTCTACACCTTGTTATATCAGATTCTCCAGCATCTGCAGTTCCAATTATCTCTGAAACAGATAAACTAAGCAAGGACAGAAGTTTTTGTTTGGTAAAGGACAGTAGTAAACAAGATAGGTTTTGTAACAACAACGAACAGTGGTTTAATGGTCATCATTTAGACTTTTAATTCCAGATTTTTATTGAATTCAAATTGCAGGATGTGAACCTCATAACATTACTTGAGTCTCTGGATGTGAACCTTATAACATTACTTGAGTCTCTGGATTACTACTACAGCAAAAATATCACTGGGCCATTGCCTCTGCCCCCAGTAATGAGCCAACAGTATATTATTACAAAATACACTGTGAAATTTGAGATTGGAATTCAGCCCCTGCTGTTTATAGGAGTGAAGCAGAATTCTATGTAACCAGGCTGAGAGATCTTCAAGGTTCCTGACTCTGCTCCGGAAGCGCTCCCCCTGAATAACCACCCACAATGCACCGGTCCTTCCTTTCCGACATTTTCCGGACGAGGTGAGTGTCTCGGTCCGGGCAGCGCCGATACAAATCTGTCTCCATCCTTCGATTGTGTAGCTCGCACAGCAGGATAATATGGGGGAATCAGAGTCAGGCAGAGGGGGCAACTTTCTGCTGGGCTTATTTCCTTTCCTCGACCTGCCGGCGGGGTGTTTAATTGAGATTAAATGTTCGAGTCGGGTCTTCGATCCTGGGGCCTAATGTGCGCCTTGGCGCCCGTCTAAGTACCGCTGCCCTGGGCCGGTCTGTTTGACTGGGCAGCCCCCGGCTCGGCTCGGCTCGTTCACAGATATTGCCCGCTGTTTCTGCGGAGTCTTGGCTCCAGATACTCAGCACCGAGCAGAGCGCGGGACCTCGGCGAGTGAGTGGCTGCAGGTCACAGCTTCATTCGGTGCTAAAGGATTGCAGTAGTTTGTGAAGCTGTTTATTTCACCTGTTATAACTCGTACCCGATTCTTCTCCGTGTTCACAGATGGCTCCCGCTAAGAAAGGTGGAGAGAAAAAGAAGGGCCGCTCAGCCATCAACGAGGTGGTTACGAGGGAATATACAATAAATGTCCACAAGCGTATCCACGGCGTGTAAGTAAAAAGAATTTATGATCATCTGGATTAATTGGCCGGAAATATGTCTCTTATGCCTGCAGGTTTGAAGATGTGCAGACTGGGTGGATTGGCCATGCTAAATTGTCCGTAGATGTGCAGGCTAGGTCGGGGAGTCATGGGAAATGCAGGGTTACAGTGACAGGGTAGAGAGGTGGCTCTGAGTGGGATGCTCTTCAAGGGTTCGGTGTGGACTCAATGGGCTGAAAGGCCTGTTTCCACATTATAGGGATTCTGTGAAGCTCCTGAAGGGATGGATGTCCTATTTTCAACAGTTGGGGTTTTCCAGATTGCCTTGTTATCTAAGGTAGTTTTGAAGTGATGGTGTCATTTATATAGAGTTTTTCCATTTAGTCATGGGAGATGGATGTTGCTGCCTGTGCCAACATTTATTGTTCATTCCTAGTTGACCTTGAGAAGTTGGTGGTGAATTGCTGCCGTCCAATGGTACATGTCCATTCTTGATGCAATTTGTAAGTTCTAGGATAAAACATAGTAAAGGAATAGTGTTATATTTCCAAGTCCGGGTGGTGTGACGTGAAGGAATTTGGAGGTCCTGGTGTTCTCGCACATCTACTGCCATTGTCCCTCAGGATGGTAATGGGTTTGGAAGGTGTGGAGCACAACACATTGTGGAGCTGGAGGAGCACAGCAGGCTAGGCAGCATCAAAGGAGCAGGAAAATGGACGTTTCGGGTTGGGACCATTCTTCAGAAAAAGCTTCATACTGTGTTGTCCCTGACTCCAGCATCTGCAGTTCTTGCTATCTCATTGTGAGTTATTGCAGTGCATTTTGCAGGGTGTATACACTATTACTATGAACTATGTATTTTCTAGGGTCAGTTGGCAGGATGGCTGGTTTGCAGTGCACAGTGGTGCCAACACAGCGGGTTCAATTCCCACATCAACTGGGTTTACATTGAAGGTTCCACTTTCTCAACCTTGCCTGAGCATGGTACCCTTAGGTTAAACCAATGCCAGTTGTCTGTCTTTGAAAGAGCTGCCCTCTGGGACTGTGGTGACTTAAAGTTTACCATGTATTGATGGTCGAGAGCATGATGTTGAAGAATGATGAATGGGGTGACCATCAAGTGGCCTGCTTTGTTCTGAACAGTGTTAAACTTGTTGTATTGTTGAGCTGCGTTCATCCAGATGAGTTGGGGGTATTCCATCACACAGAAAAGAGGGTAAACAGGCATCATATCAGCAGATATGGCACCATCTCAGTATAGAGAATTTGTTTGTTTCCACAGATGATGCCAGACATGATGTATGTGTTTCAAGTATTTTTTTGGTCTATTTCAAATTTCCAGCAGTTGCCACATTTTCCTTCTATGTAAAAAGGAGGTGGCTGTTTGGCGTGTTGCGTCTGTGTTGGCTCTGTAGAGAGTAACTTATTTAGTATGACTCCCTAACGTTTTCAATTATCTATCTGAAATCTTTGGATGTTTATCCGGTTTCACTATGAAAGTCCCCCAACTATTCTCCCCATTCCAGATTCTAAACACTTAATGCGCAGAACGAAAGCTATTCTCACGTTGCCTCAGCGTTTTTTGCCATATCACTAAATCTGTTCATATAGACCCAACCTGCAGAAACCTAACAACATTAGTTGTGTTGCACAGTTTCCTTGGTCTTCAGTTACGTCCAGAAGCTGAAACCTCTGGCCTTACTTTGGATTGCTTGTGATTTGTAAGTAGCTGGCATTCATGTCGCATCTTAAGATTCTTGTTAGGGAGGGAATTCCAACAACATTGTGGATATACCTAGAGTACGTGGACTGCAGCAATTAAAGAACGCAGCTCATCACCAGCTTCCGAAGGGCAACTAGGGCCGGGCAATAAATGCTGGTCCAGCCAGTGACGCCCATGTCCCAGGAGTGAATGAAAAAAGACTGAAACTGCGCATAATATTCAAGCTGTGGTCTCAGCAAAACCTTGTCTGCTGCTTACAAATCCTCACCACTCCAAAACAAGTCTGGAGGTTACAGATTTTAGGTATAACTGAAGACCAAGAAAACGTTTGCACTGTAATTGATGTCACTATCTGAGGAGGTATGTTCTGACAATGGAGTGAGTGCAGTGTCAGTTGGAAAGCACTTTGGGTCCAGTGACCATACCTCTCTTAGTTTTAACGTAGTTATGGGAAGAGATAGGACAGGTCCACAGGTTAAGGTGCTAAACTGGAGCCGGGCCAATTTTAGGACCAATAGGCAGGATCTAGCCGAGGTCGATTGTGTGAGTCTGTTTGATGGAAAAGCAACGACTAGCAAATATGATATCAAGAGTTCGGGAGCAGTATGTCCCTGTCAGAGTGAACAGAAAAGCTGGTAGGTTTAGGGATCCCTGGCTGACAAGGGATATTGAGGCTCTGGTCAGGAAAAAAAAATGAAGGCGTATGTTGGGTTTAAGCTATCAGGCTCAAGTAAATCCCTAGATGACTATAAAAAGTGTAGGAGCACACAAAAGGGAAATCAGAAGAGCAGAAAGAGGGTATGAGATTGATCTGGTAGATAAGGTTAAAGATA